GTCGAATGTCCGTGTGACAAAGACTCTGTCTGGTCTTTACCTGACTCGCTGGGATTTCGGCCCGTATAAGCAGGGCCTTCTGCCTCCACTGACCAAGCGAGACCTGACCTTGAGGTTCTTGATGTCTTACCAGTGGATATGGGACACGTATTCTCTGCTCACTGCCGCGCACAACCTCCTGACGGCCGTGTTTGTGTCAGTTCTGCAATGGGATCGGTCAGACGAGTGGCCTGCGCTCTTCGACAACATCACCGACGCGTACTCCGGTGATTCTGGGGTTTGTTTTGGCATCGGCTTCATGTCACCGTGCTTGAAGCTTATCTTTCCATGGTCCTTCGTGTCAAGGTAAGGAGCATCGCACCATCCGCTCTTCTCCCTTCACCGCATGGGCATGCTGATAACTGACTGCGCGGCAACAACCTGATCTTAGGCCCTTCAGGAAATCGAGAACACCGCACCGCAGCCAACGCTAGAACAACAACCGCACCGACAACGGCAACGGCAGTGGCTGAGACATGGCATAATTTTCAGAGAGTTTCGTGCGCTTTGGATCTTTATCCTGTCCGCCATCTGTCATACAGGATCGAATTGGGTTCTGACGCACAGGTCCAATGTAGTGCAGGAGTTTCGCTTTTTTCTTTCCAATTACGTCGTATGCTGGGCAGAGACTGTCCTGGAAAGGAGGTTGAAGGTGGCATCGGCCGGGCGAACCAAATTCCTGGGTCGCGTTACGCGGGCCATGACACGGGTGGTTGGTTACATCTGGGTAGCGAGCTTATTTTTCTGTCTTGCTCCAGCGTGGCAGTATCCCTGTGTCTATGCAGCTCTAGGCCCTTGAAACCAACAGTTGGTACCGTAGTCTGAGAAAATAGGCGCTCGGATAATTAGCTCCGGCTGAAGGCATTGGATCCGACTCTGTTGGTACATAACAAACCGTGTTTCTTCGTGGTATGGTTCGACTGCTTCATTGCACTGTTGCCTAGTTCCAGAGCACCTGAATTGGGTAGGCGAGTTTGCTGATGGCCTGGTCTCGGAATCGGCTGTCGGTCCATAGTTGCAGCGGTGATATTGAATGCATCTGCTGCTCAGGTTCTCTTTAAACCTGCTGCCACGTTACCCATTTGACTGGGTTCGGCAACAAAACCAGCACGGGGGGGACCTTTGACATTGATGCTCGCTTCTCCTCACCAAATCTTTCCTTTTTACAGTCAAATCATCGCTTGGGGTCCGCGTGTGTCATGAGTACCAAGAGCAACATCGCTAGACGACGGCGATGCCGACGGCCCCATCCGTAAGGCATCCTGCTCGAGGATGCCTGTACCAGCAGCATTTTTGGGATATCGCCCGTTCCCTCCGGTCATCAACCTCTACGGCAATTCCTCTGGGGGTGTCATTGGCGCACTGACTACGTATAAGCTCTGCGGTGCGGACAAGAGCGATTTCTTATACGCCGTTGAGGTCCACCACGGCTTTACCCCCAGAGGACCGCTCAATTTCAGGCCGGGCTTCTACCTGCGGAACGGGACAGGGACCGAGGCCCCTATCCTGGCAACCGCCGGCGACGAAGAGCGAGAACCCCTTCTGATGTCGACCTTTAGCGTGAAAAGTCTCATCATGGTGCCGCCGCCGCTGGACGAGGACGATGTCGAGTTCAACCTAAACCCCCGCGACTTGGTCACCGAGATCATGTACGCCACAACGACTAGCGACGGTAGCGTCTCGTTCCGGTTCTCCGTCGAGGTCGGCCCTAAGATAAAAGTTAGAGAGGAATTCGAATGGAGGAAGACCCGAAAGGGCACCACCAACAGCAACACCCAGCACAGCCGGTATATTCTTATTCGCCTGCCGCCCTCGTCCTCTTCTACCTCACCTTCTTCACCATCTTCTTCTTCTTCCATAGCACAAGAGGAAAGCGATATCCTTGCTGATCTTACGTTCCGCAATGCGATGTCCTTGCAACACTTGTTCACATTGGAGCTAAAGGGGGCTGCTTGTTCGGGAGTGATGGGTGACCGTTGGACCCTTATGGTTGTCACCACCGCGCTCAGGCTTTATTGGCTGCGTATATATGGCAAAACCAATAAGGCTGTCGTAGGAATTGGGCAGAAACTCCGGGGTAAATAGTTTGGTCCGATCGTGATGTTTCTGTGGTAGGAGAGGACGAGAGATGCCCCTGAAGAATCTCGAACGCGGCCGCCTGTCAGCAATGCCCGTCTCCAGACGACCAGACTTGTACGTACCTCTAAAGTGAGCGTAGGAATAACATCGAAGCTCAAGTTCTGTATCACGTTCCTCTCAAATGAAGCGAGCATGTTTGACGATTCCCGAAAACGGATGGATGGATGAATGCATGCGTGATCGAGGAAGTAGTAGCGGAGATGCAGCAGATGCAGGGGCGGGCAGGTCGCAGGAATTGCAGAAAGGCGCTGTAAGTCCACTGAACCTACAGGGCGTGCTTTCCCCAGGTGCAGCTGCCGGTGCCGGCCTCCGAAAACCATGACCGTTTTCGCGCACGTTCCTCGTCAGGAAAAAGCACAAAACTGCTCTCAATAGGAGGAGCGACCAATATTCTCGCTGCCGTAGGAGTTCCCATAACTGAAAAAAGGGGCTAGACAGTTTGAATTGAGAAGTGACGGTTGTGAGTGGTGAGTCAGTCAACTTTCGCTGCGGATGTGCTCAGATGCACGGGCCACGGTCCGATCCTTTGGCGTGCCACCTCCGGGCATAGCCCGGAGTGCAATCAACAAGAAATCACCAGGTACAACTGACGAGAAAAATGTCTTGTCCTGTTAGAAGTAGAATGGAATACCTTCTCTGATCATAGCAGTTTGCCCTGAGATGTTGAGCCTTGATGGTAACTTCCAATTACTTGAGTCTTTTCCTTCTGAAAAATGCATCTTCCAGCCCTACCTCGAACCGGCGGACGAGCAAACACCAACATCAACGTCCTCCTGGAATCACCCCATTGAACCGCGAGTGAAAACAAACAAAAAAAA